CCATCACGAAAAAAAAGCATCACCCTCCAATGAGGATGGGTCAAAATGGTACCAGAGAGAACACCCTTTATATATATATATTAATACATAAAGGACAGTTCTCATTGGGATACTTAAAAATCAATCTCTGAAAGTTGGCATTTATGAAACTTTTCTGTGAGGATAACACTGATAAGAAAAAAACAGTCGTGATTCAGCGGTTTGTTGTGCTACTCCTGGCTCCACACTTCTAACGGTGGACCACTAACAGCGACTCACACCAACAATCGCCGAAGGGCGTTGGGGACAAGAGTGGGGAAGAGCCGGCAGAATGCAGCAGCACATCAGAAACCCACTGGAAAGGGAACTGGGTAAATTTGGGATAAACCAACGAAGCAGGTTTGCTATGACCCATTCAGTTGCTTCCCTAGTCTGAGGGGTCCCTGCCTTGCAGAAAATGATGACGAGCTCTGAGCACATAAAAATCAGAAATGTCTTCTGAAGCAATAAAAAGAATAATAATAACAATAATAAAACGAAAGACAACAAAGTGTGAAAAGCATCAACAGTTTGTACACAACAGGATAAAGAAAGGTTGAAATTCAATGATGTTAAATCTCATCAGAAATTAAATGCATGCAAATAATGAAAGATTAGTTTCGCTTATGCTTCATCTACATAATTATACCTGTTCCAGTATCTTAGTTTTACCAACTGGGTTTTTTTTTTTTTTTTGCATAGTGTTTAAATATTTAATTGCACAAAGAGCAATGGATCTCAAATTAATCAGCGCTGTGAACCTATCCTCTGCTCAATTGCTCAGAATATTTTCTGGATTAATTAATGTATGCAAATAGAAACTCCTGGAAGATTAGTTCCAGATATCCAAACATGGTAGCACCCCCAGTGAGAATTTGGCTGTGCTCTTAAATATGACTTCAGTTGTGATGAAGGTGGAAGGAAGTGTGTGGTCTCTTTAAGAAATCTGTATAAGGGCTTTGCTATTCTTCTATGCTATAAAGAAGCACAGATTTATTTCTATGGTGGACCACTGAGCTTTTCACTCAGTTTCTATTCCAATTTTTAGGTCAAGGCAGAGTCTATAGGGTGGTTTCTGGCCGGATAAGAAGATGCAATTTATTTTCTCTAGAAATTGGTTCATGAGGACACAGATATAAATCATTCAGGGAACAACGCCCTGTCCATGGTATCTGGTGGCAGGATGTTGTCATATGACAAATCCATTAGGTGGCATTCATTCCATTTGGTCCAGTGTCACCTGTCAAGACACTGTCAGCATTGCTTGTTGTTTTTTTTTTCCCTCAATCTCTTCTTTGGCAACATTATTGAATGGCCTGTACCTTCATCATTCACAATTCTTCACAGTGAGAGTTTATCAAAATATTTAAAATGAAGAATATTTTTTGTATTTTTAACAAATATAAAAGTCTTTCTTTATAACATTTTTTAATGTTATAAAGAAAGAAATGAGGATTTTTTTTCTTAGAACAGTTTTAGATTGAGACAGAAAATGAGCAGGAATTGCAGAGAGTCCCCATATCCTCCAACGGTTACAACACTTTTCAGAAAACACAAGCACAGCAGGGAGATATTGTGGGTTTGGCAGCAGACCGCCTCAAATAAAGCAAATATTGTAATAAAGTCAGTCACAGGGTTTTTTTGGTTTCCCAGTGCATATAAAAGTTATGTTTATATTACAAAGCAGTCTACTATTAAGGGTGCAATAGCACTATGTTTAAAAAGCAATGTACATACCTGAATTTAAAAATACTCTATTGCTAAGAAAAATGCTAACGATCATCTGAGCTTTGAGTAATCTCTTTTTTTTTCTTTCCTGGTGGAAGGTCTTGCCTCAAGGTTGGTGGCTGCCGAATAATCAGGGTGATAACAGCTAAAGATTGGGGTGGCTGAGACAATTTTTAAAAATAATACAAAAATGAAGTTTGCCACATCGATTGACTCTTCCTTTCACAAAAGATTTCTCTGTAACACGTGATGCTGTTGATAGCATTTCATCCGCTGCAGAACTTCTTTCAAAATTGGAGTCAATCATCTCAAACCCTACCACTGCTCTATCACCTAAGTTTATGTAATATCCTCAATTATTTGTTTTATTTCAACGATGTTCGCAGCATCTTCACCAGGAGTAGATTCCATCTCAAGAAACCACTTTCTTCGCTCATCCATAAGAAGCAACTCCTCATCCGTTCAAGTTTGATCATGAGATTGAAGCGATTCAGTCCCATCTGTGGGCTCCACTTCTGATTCTAGTTCTCTCGCTGTTGCCACCACATCTGCAGCGACTTCCTCCACTGAAGTCTCGAACCCCTCAAAGTCGTCCATGCCGGTCAGAATCAACTTCTTCCAAACTCCTGTTAATGTTGCTATTTTTGACCTCCTCCCATGAATCACGCTTAATCCTTTCCAGAAGGATTTCAATTTGCTTTCAATTTACATCAGAGGAATCACTACCTATGGCAGCTGTAACCTTACAGACGTTATTTCTTAGATAGTAAGTCTTGAAAGTCAAGATGACTCCTTGATCCATGGGCTGCAGAATGGGTGTTGTGTTAGCAGCATGAAAACAGCATTAATCTCCTTCCACATCTCCATCAGAGCTCTTGAGTGACCAGGTACGTGGTCCGTGAGCAGTAATATTTTGAAAGCAATCTTTTTTTCTAAGCGGTAAGTCTTAACAATGGGCTTAAAATATTCAGTAAGCCATGCTATTAACAGATGTGCTGTCATCCAGGCTTTACTGTTCCACTTACAGAGCACAGGAAGAGTAGATTTAGCATAATTCTTAAGGGTCCGAGGATTTTTGGAACAGTAAA